TATCAAAATATGTCAAATTTTTTGTCAATAATATAAAAGGACCTAGATTTTAACATATAATTTTTTAAGAATTTTTGATTATATAAATTATTGATATATGGATCATTTTTTAATAATTTTCAAGTTAAAAAAATCTGTGAAAAAAATGGTCTCTAAAATTTGACTCTCATCCAAATTTTGTTCTAGCAATTACAAAAACCTGAAAAAATTTAGAGGATCAAAAATTGTGATAAACTATTTGTCCTAACATTTTCAAAACAATTGGCTTAGATTTGAATTTTTTAAAGTGGAGGACACTTATGACTGCTACTATATATCTAAAGTTTTATCTAAGTTAAATAATTATTTATTAAATTATATTAAAAAATATTAGTTCAAAGACTTTTGTAATACACTGTATATATTTGTTTAAAGTTATTGAAAATATTTTATTATTAAAATTTAAATCTTTTTATATATTGAATTTTTTGAAGATCTTAAATATTTTTTATTTGTTTTTTTTTATAAAATATTTTTATATTAATTTTTAATTAGAATTTTTATATATAAATTATTTTTTTAATTGTTATCATAATAATTTTATTTTTTTTTTAGATAAACAGTACTAGTAGCATATGTATCTTTATTGGATTATATAATGATTAAGTTTTTATCTACAATATATTATTAATGTTTATTATATTATAAGAAAATTTTTATAATAAATTTTTATATATTATATAAAAAAATATATATAATTGTTTAAAATTTATTTATAATCAACATAAATACAATTTTTATAAGTTTTGTAATTTTATTGTATCATTTAAATCTTGCTAATAATTTTTATTTAAAAAATATATTATTATATTTTTTGTTGGTTTTAAAAAATATTATATATTATTTTATTAATTTTATCAATTATCTTTTTAAATTATATAATAATTAATCTAAATTATTTTTATTTAATAATATTTATTATATTGTTATAGAAAAAATATAATAGATAAATGATAGGAAATTATAAAGAAAAGTATATCAGATATAAGTGATATATTAAGTATAAATGGTATATTAGGTATAAATAATATATTAAAAATAATATATATTATATAATAGGTATAAAATCAAAATATATATAAGTAACTTAAAAATAGTTTAAAAATATGAATAATTAGGAAGGTACTATATAATATTATTAATAAAATCTTCTTTATTAATAAACTTTGCTTTATAATTTTATTTCAATATAGATAGCTAACAAAATTACTATATAAGAAATAATTATTTGAAATACAAGATTAATAAACTGATCTGTGTTAGTATTATAAACTTTGATCAAATTTATATATCTTTTTTGAATAGAATACTACTCTAATATTATATGATATAAGACAAATTGAAGTAACTGACTTGTTGTGATTTTATTATAACAATATAATATTTTTGATAAAAAAATATTATTTAGTATAATTATTTATTTAAATTTATATTTTTAAAATAAAAATTATTTAGTAAATTATAAAAATATTTTTATAAATATTTATATAGCACAATATATAATATAATATATATTTTTGCTTTAAAAAAATATAAATATAAAAAATTAATAATAAAAAATATTAAGTTGAAATGATTAATATAATATATATAAATTTATAAAATTAAATTAAAAAAATAATAGTAATATTTTATAAGGATTAAATATTATTAATAAAATAAAAGTTTAATATTGAACTTTTTGAAAAAATTAATAGTATTAATATACTATTATAAAGAAAAAAGAATAATTTTTGATATAATGCTTTGTTAGATATTATAATCAGAATATATATAAAATAAAAAGAATAATTAAACTAAAGAAAATAGTTAGAATAATTAAGATAATTAAAATATTTAATTAATAAATATATATATAAATATATTTGGCTCTTATTAAATAAAAGCAAAAAAATATCTATTTTATATATAAAGTTTTGTTTATATAATAAATTTTTGTATATTTAATTTTTATAATATTATATTTTAGTTTTATTCATGATTAGGGCTTCAAAAAGTACCAAACTAGTACCAAAGTGATATCAAAATAGTACTAATCTATAGTAAATTTAATATACTGTATAGGCTATGACCTACTTATATGAATTTATAGTAAATTTAAGTATCGAACTGATATTGAACAGGTATTGAAGTAATATCATTAGGTGTTCTATTCATAATTACATTAAATTAAAATTTTTTTTGTTTGAAAAAAAACAAGAAAAGCAATGATATAATTACAAGCTGCTTAGCTGATTAGTACAAAGTAAGCCTACTTATTTGTAATGTAATATGCCCTAATAAGACCTGTATATAAGCAACAGACTGTTATTTTTTTACTGCTATAATACAGATTTTAATATAATTAAATAAACTATGACAATATAAATATCTTTGTCAAAATAGTTAATATACTTATGGTAAGTACAAATGTACAATATGTTTTGATAGAGATATTTATAGTATAAAAATAATAAAATAATGAAAAAATACTAGTAACAATTTCTAGAATTAAAAGATGTTTCATAAATAAATGTTAGTAAAACTGAACAAAGGATTGATGGATATCTTGAGCAAAAAGGAAGTCTATTTCAATCATAGAAATTTGATTTTCTTTTTTGTTAGGCTTTTTGCAAGTTTATTATTTAATGTTCTTATATACGGTATATAGCAACATTGTTAATTTGAAATCAATACATTGTATGTGGCGAATGGAGGGTCAGGTTTGGCCTAACTTTGGGACTTGAACCTATATGGAATACGATATTGCATAGTAAAGATCAACTTCATTTATTCATATTGGATTCAATTTCAAGGGCACATTTAATTATAGTAGGTATAACGTTTTTACACTTCTTTTTATTACTGCTTGCAATATACGAAATCGCGATGGATTTATTGACAAAATGAAACGTCCAGAAATGTAATTATATAGATACGTGCTTTTAAAAGTTAAACGTCATAAGTAAATATTCTGTAGGTACAATTGTTTTTTGTAAGATGGACAGAAGGTTATAATAATTTGATAATAGGAAGAAATTAAAATTCTGCCTGTAGCATTATTCTCAAATATATTTAAAAAAAGAGTGATTGTATTGATTATTAAATTAAAACCACATAAATATATAGTCTTTAAGTATAAAAAAATAACAAGTGTTCATTAGCCGTCGGGTATTAATATCTAATTAAAATACACGCACAGCATCGCTCATAATTTGATCCAATTCCTAAAAGGATTCACAATGAAATGATGAGTCACGCAGTCTTCTTTTTTTAAAAAAAAAATAATAATAATAAATAAATAAATAAAAAGAAGAAAACTTACCGACTCAAGCTTGTCGAGTTCGTCATTGACACCTGCAAATACGGCTTTAATATCGTCCAGAATATCCGAAGGTTTGATTTGCTCCAAAATTTTATCCGGATCATCATTCATGCTCCATCCACTTCGTCTTCGTTCCTTGATCTCCAACATGTTAACCCCAGAGCGCACAAGTACCAATAATTCCTGCAATCCAAATTCATCCGACATTACCCAATCGTTTTCAGTAGTTGAAGTTGGTGTGGCAGACGGCGCACGTTGCAAATTTGTGGTGGGAAATAATTCTCCAAGCGGAGTTATAGATTCCAATGAATTTATGGTGCTTGCAGATTGATTGGAAATCGATGAGGCCGGACGTTCTAAATCCGCGTTATTGAGGTCAGATTCGGGGCGTTCTTTCGGATCATTTAACAATTCATCAGATGACTTTTGTTTTAATGTACTATCTCTTGCTGGTATCTCATTTTGCACAAGTTTTGCATCCGGTTCAAATGAAGAGTCATTTGAACCAACCGAGCTTTTCTTATTGTTTGATTGAACTGGTGATGGTTGTCTTTCGTTTTCGCCTTGCATATGAGTTTGGCTTTCTGTATTTTTGGTTCTCATTGCCGAAGTAATGCTCGGAAGCTCGCTCATACCATACTGACCTGCTTTAACTTTTTGTATCACTCGATTGATCCTTTGTTCAATTGTTTCCGTTTCATTCTCATCATCACCGTCGTTCACAATGTTCTCCAGGATGTCAACTTCAGCCGTTCTACTTTTTCTCTTATTTTCCACGGAAGTGACATCACCTTTTTCAGGATAAGTCAATTCATTTCGTAGTTTACTGTTGGAATTCGATGAAGCGTCTTGAATATTCATTAAATCATCATCACCCCATACATCCTCAATGAGATCGCTGATATCAACTTCCTCACCATCAACGGAAATGAACGAGTATCGAACTTTGGCGCCAAATATACGAGAGCTTCGGATAGCTCCGATACTTGTGATAATATCCACGCCTTGTTCCTCATTTTTACGTGCCGAAAGAATTGACTTCTGTTTGGCACGACTATATTCACGCTGCTGTTCAATGAGTTGTTTCCGTGATAATTGGTCATTTTCACCGACATTTTCTGTTACTGTTACTGTCCCTTCAACTGCACTTTCAACGACCAACTGTGGAGAGAATGGTATGGATTTATCATCAATAAGAGTTTGAGCGATATTAACGTTTTGAGTGTATCGTTTTATGTCTTCAGTGGCAGATTGGGGCATTGCGCGTTTTTGACGATCTTCTGGACGTAGAAGCCTAAGAACAAATATGGGTTCATCTGGATGGTAATCGAACGCCGATGCATTTGAATCTACCGAATCAATGGAGAAATGCCGAAGATCGGGCGGCGCTTTGTAAACAGACATTACATTGGTTTCTGGTTGAAGATACACTTCTAATTTATAGATAATTTCACAAATAAAATGATGATAAGAGAGTGTTTCATACTAGACGAAAGTTTAAGTAAATGACAAGAAGACAATAAAAGAAAGAGGCATTACCATCTCCATTGACAATCATAGTCAGATAATATCGGGGTTTACCATCATCAGATTCTAATATAGGCTTCCCATCATCCACGACACCATCAGTGATTCCAAACTTGGACATTGATTTTTCAACAATTTGACCAATACTGTTCTTTCCCGTCACGCTTACAGCTTTCTCTCGAGGTTTTCCTTCCTCTCTTGACCGTCGTCTGGCAGCCTTCTCAACCAGATGCTTAGGAACGGACATGGAAACTCTAGGTATCGTCCCTTTGTGTCTTAGGTGAGCTGGCAAGTCATCAGAGTATGCAAGGACTCGTACTCGGAACCTCATTTCCATCGAGTTAGTTTTAATATCCGTCTTTGATTTTTTATTAATGTATAAGCAGACTAAATTTTTGTCATCTCGAAATAGCAATTTACTTATCGCCTCGTGACTTGATAAATCTGAAAAGTTTGAGGAGACTGATGAGATGGAGGCCCGTTTAACGGTAGGAAGTGGCGTGAGATATGATGAGGTCAAAGTCTCAAATATTTCCAGTGGATATTCATGGGACAGAAGGATGTGAGGTTCTGCAAAAAATGCATCACATGTTAAAACGAACTGTTGATATCTAAAAATCAAAATCAAAAATCACATGGTCTAGCCGCTAACCTCTGTCTGATTCTTTAATGGTTACATAGTATTCATCCCAGTTTTCCTCATTGTCCAATTTAAAACGCTTTAATGCTTGTTTTATAAGAGAGATTGTATTCGTGACTTGACTAAGAAGAACGATTTTATATTCATGTTTGGTCGAAATATTTTGACCGGCAAAGATTCGAACAACACTATAAGCTGAACCGGAAGGATTACTCAATCGTTTGCTTTGGCTTGTTCTAAATTGTTGTCGTGAAGTGGAAGTTGGTGATTGATCCGATTGTGTGGGTGAAGATTTCGTTGATGGTATTTGTGTCGGAGATTGACCTGATTGTTGACGGGTTGTCGGTGACTGTTTTACTGATTGTTGCGGTGATGGTATTTGTGTTGGCGATTGAGTGACTTGTTTGTTCTGCGGTGGTTGCTGTTGCTGTTGCTGTATGATTTGCTGTGTCGGTGGTTGAACCAAACGTGCATTTGTTGACTGCAGAGGTGGCGATGGCTGTTGTTGTTGCCGTCCATAAGCTGGTGATTGAATGTTTGATTGCGGCTGATTTGTTATTTGCTGCTGGTATGTAAGTGGTTTTGTTTGATATGATTGAACATTATTCATTACAAGAGGATCCTGAGACACACTTTTTCCGGTAGATTGCCTTGGTGAATCATCATCTTTCTTATTATTTTTCGGCTTCTTCTTGAAAAAGAAATTCTTAAATATTCCACCCTCTTTCTTTTCTTTCTTTCCTTTATTCTTTTTATCCTCTGTCTCTGTCATCATTTGTTTATTATTAGATGATGAATTGCCGACTTTTGAGGAATCATTATCATTTTTTCCAAAGAATTTGCTACCAGTTTTTTGTTTTGGCTCATAATCTTCGTCGTCCGAAAAGTCCATAAAATCACTACCCAACGCTGGAGTTAATGACATTTTGATCGTCTCGGAAGATTGATCGAATATGTTTTCGGATGAATGAGTGGGTGGGTTCATAGGTTGCGCTGTTGGCTGAATGTCATTACTTTCTTGATTTTCATTTGGACTTGAACGAGAGTAATAGTTTGTTTGCTCGATAAATGAATTGTTGTCACCTTCCATCGGTTGAGAGTTGCCAGCTGTGATTTTTTGTTGCTGTTGCTCATCTCCGGGAGTAGCTCCTGATGTTTGCATTGTGACTGCATTATCTTGAGTTATTGTGTTGGTTGACGACGAAGTAAGCACACTATCCATGCTTTCCCGTTTTTCTGTTATTTGTTCCTCTTGTTCCTCTTGTTCATCGAGTGATTCAACTTCAACTTGATCTTTTTGCTCTTTGGAATCGTTTGAATCTTTTGACTCCTCATAATATTCATCAAATTCTATTTCATCATCCCCCTCTTCTTCATATTCTATAGTGACGATATGTTCTGACGACTTAAATCTAACTTCTTTTGTTTGTTTTTTAATGTTATTTTTTGATTTTTGTATCGAATCCAAATGATCCTGTTCACTAAGATTTTGTGAGGATGAAATCTATACAGTTCAATCATATAAGATCATTAATTAACAAGCTTTCATATGAGAAATAGATAGATGCGCGTGTAATTTTCTTTTTTTGCACATACATTAATATTCCGATGTTTATTTAATCTGGCCAACTTTTCGAAAGGAGTCTAATATGTAAAAGAAAAAAATTAATAATAAATTCAGATGAATAAGGTGATTTTCGTTGCCAGAAAAGATGAATTTCATGGAAAAACATTGGAATCAAACAACTCTATCTTCTAACGTAATTATTAAAAGGTTGTGAATTTCACCTCAACAGTTTCGGCTGGTATGTAACCAACTTCCTCATTTCTTAAAACTTTAACCAACCACCAATAACTATTTGAATCATCTAATAGGGTTAGCGGTTCACCTTTCTCAACACTAGCTTGACCTTCGACTGTTGCACTAAAGGTGTGCAGGGCGTAAACCAGATCAAAATTAATTTCTTCATCAATAATTGAGGGTGATGGGGTGAAGTCGTCGTCGTCATCATCATCATCGTCATCAGACATTATTCGATTCTCCTTCTCTTCTATCTCATTGTCGGATGATGAATCATTGGCATTGTTGGTCACTCTTTGACCACGGGATGCTGCGACTGTGTTAATAGTAAGATTATGTTCTCGATTCATGTTCTTTTTTCTTTTTTTATTAAATTAAACCTTATTTTTCCGCTCGTAATTAGAAAAAGAAAGCTAAGATTTTTTTTTTTTTTTTTTTTGAGGTGGTCAGAAACAGGAATATATGCTAGTGGGAAAATAATCTGTTTTAGGTGACAGTGACAGCAGGGTAACAGAAGGAAGGGGTGACGGAATCGTTCGAAATCCAAATTAAGGAATATGAATTAAAATTCTTTATTACGTAATAAAAAATCCAAAAATGCCAATGCACCAAAAAAAAACAACTTCCGTCAATAATAATTGGCAACAGCAAAGCTCATTGAGTGAGTTGGTGAGCGTCAAAAAGTGTGTCAGAAAGAGTGTGAAAATTGGCATATAAATGCGTTTAAAGCCATCCATATTAAATATGTACGTTCTGTACGGAAATTAACGCTCTCGTCACACCCTGGCATATTATCATTTCCGAATTTGTGTTCATCAAACAAATTAAGAATGAGATTGAAAAACACGCGGCGGTAAGGTTACACCGATCCACGAATCTTTGTGAAGGTAAATCTGAAAATAGAACCTTCTTTAGACCTGGTATTCAATTCCATTATTCTAATTTAGAGTCACGCAGGCACGCAATAGTTTATATTCTCTGTACTAATCTTTCAAAGACCACACGAGATGTGTACGTGCTGCGAGTGCACTCATTTTTCCGTAAGCCACATGCACAATTTCCAAAATTTCATACACACAAGATATGTTGTTACACGTAGTGCATGGCATGTAGCTAATATTTCCCACTTATCTAATTTAGCTCGTCGCAATAAACCATGCACCAGCCCAAGTACTATTTAAGTTGCAAAAGAGAGTTACGAGCGTACGCACAGGGGTGACAAAGGTTCCGACCATCCCTTGTGTGATATATTCTTTTTGCGAAACATTCTCGTTGCATCCGAAAAACTTATTATTTCGTTTGAGCCCCTTCTACAGAAACCAACGCTCGAGCCCGATTAGGCATACAATTAATTTGATTAATTATCGTTGGCATACGGCCTATGACGATGGATCTCTTACCATGTTTCTGTACACCATGCATTCGATGTACACAGTACTGACAGAAACAGAAAAACCGACTATTTTTATTTTTATTATTTATTATTATTATATAATAAAAATATATTTATTTGTTTAATATTTATAAATATTAATATAATTTGATTTTTAAAAAAAAAACTTTTTTTTATCTTAAATTTGGCCACACGGGAAGGTGGCGGATTTTTAAAAAATGGCCACATAGGAAGGAGATGCAATCCAAATTTTGATCATATTGCGCCTTATGTAGCTGTTATTATATCTTTAGTTTCGCAGGGTTTCAAATTCGATGTCGATAGTGTTTTAATTGGTTATATAAATTTTTTGTATGTCAGCCTAATGTTTCTGATTGATTTCTATTATAAGAAGCTTAGTAAAACAGGTCATGTCGTTCTAACCAATCCTATTTTAACTCTTTTTAGGTATCCATATTCAATAACAATACAGTATTATATTTGATTTAATATGATTGATATATGTAATAGAATAAATAACTTGATCTTATTTTACTTATTTTTTTCTAGTAAATTATTAATTAGTTTATTTTTAATACTAACATTTATATACTGTGATTATTTATAATATATTTAATATATATGATATAGATTAAACAGTTTATTCAAAAAGTTTATATGGTTAAATAATTTATAAAATTAAAATATTATAATATATAAATTAAATAGTTTAATTTTTTTTTTCTCTATTCAAACTGCTATTAGCATATTTATTGATTCAATTCTGAACAACAATAGTACAATATACAATATAATACTATACTAAAGCTAAACAGTCTATCATAGCAGAACACCTATCAACAAGTTGCAGATTTGTATATAATCCTTGAATCCTTAATATCAAGACCATCATGTTGCCCACATGATCTAGCTATTTACTAACTATTTCATTACAAGGGAGTAAGTTTATTAAGCTATTACTGCGTGGTACTAACTATCTTAGACTTTCCAAATTCTAACTCTCTAGATGTGATTATAAGAAATGATAGAATTGTTCCTTCCTGAAGTTGGATACCTTTGATCTTCACTCCAAGAGATTAACGCCAGCCTAAAGATAGGTTCCTAAATTATTTGTAAAGACATAATTCAAATGTTTCTTATTATTAAAATTTTTATTTCTATATTAAGAAATAAAAAAAAACTACCTACAAAGATTCTTTATAGTTTTAAGTATCTATACAAATTATTTCTGAAATTATGTTCCTATTGAAATAAAGAGTTAGGAATTATGTCCTCTAGGGGACGTGGACATAAAGGGACATAAATTTTATATGCTAAATACTTTAGGGACCCATCTTTACGCCAGCCTACATTCAAACTGTCACTTTAGCACAATCTTGTTATCCTAAGAGAAAAAAAAATTTTTATTTTTCTAAGAAATAAAGGGAAGATAAAAGGGAAGGAAAAGTTTGTGCTAGTAAATAAAAACCCATCTAAACCTATCACCAGCCTAATAAGAGCCTTTTTTGATCTTGAAAAGAAAATAAACCAGCCCAAGAGGGGTGAGAGAAGATTTCAAGCCACTTCTTATCAAAAGAACACTACGACACCTTGCTCTTTCACCATTATTCAATTGTATCATCGGTTATAGTGTGATACGATATGAAACACGTGGAAGTACGTGTCTTGTTTACTTTTCTTTTATGTATCAATCAACCAGTCCCAAAATTTCAGTCAATCACTAACCAGAGATTCTAGTATAATAAAAAATTCAGGGTCAAACTGAGGTAGGCAAAATTCTCCAGAAAAAACCCCCAAAAAAATTTGCTATGCTTGAAAGTGCTATCACAAACATGTATAAATGGTGAAAAAAGTTCATACACCTGAGCGGATAGGTTCCTACCAGCTTATCCACCTGCCTTATAGTGAGGTGTAACACTTATGATGGATCCAAGGTTCTTATAGCACTTGGAAAATGCATTCACTTGATAAGCTCAACTAGCTTATCCACCTGTCTTTAGATTGAAGGTTGTTTACTTATGATAGACTCAAGGTTTTTATGGAGCCTGGGAAATGCATTTACTAGTGGTTTACTTTCTGGAGTTCCAGACCTAAGGAAAATATAGTGGAGGATATTTTTTCGATAAGTTTCTTCTTCCTAGTAAGATATTCTTGCCATAAATCAAATAGGTAAAGTTTTGTTTATTTTGTCATTGAAATATCCAAAGTTTTTAGAAGAAGGAAAAATAGACAAGTGAGAGAGGCACTGGTCTTCAGGAGATAATGTTTTTAAAGTGAGTATATAGAATTTATTATTAAAAATAAAGAAATATTTTTAAGAACGTCAGTTTTTTGGATTGGCAAAGGGATTAGCTGAAAGAGTTTTTAAGAATGTTTTATAAATTAAATAGTTTAAACAATTCAAATAATTCAAATTATATATGTAATTAGTATCTTATAATTTAAGATTCATATATTATAAAAAAAAAACTATTTCCTATATATAACTCCTTTCATAAAAATTGTTTTTTAAAAAATCTTCTTTTTTCCAAGAAACTTTAACTAGTAGATTATATTTTTGAGAGGAATATAATTCTAAGGACTGCTATTAAACAACAAAAGATTTTAGCAATAGTTCTCAGGAAACCGGAAATGGCCTGTTTAATAAAATCTAATATCTGCAAAGGTATTAATCAAATAGCTTGATCATTAGAAGATAAATAAAAATTCTTTTTTTATGTTTAGGCCTTCTCTTATACTAAACAATCAAAATCTTTAAAATATAATCAAACAATACTTAAATATAAATATATATAAGAGATAGTATTTTATTTTTTAGAGTTTTTGTTTTTGTTTTTTGTTTTTTTTAAGGTGAACGTGCATCGATATGAATCTTTATTGATAATTACTATCAAGATATGACATCAAGTGTCTTCTACATATAGTTCAATTTTTGATTATATTCTCATGTCTTCTATATATAGAATTAACACTACCTATTGACTATTTTTAGTAACAGCTTACATATCCACCTTAATTATCCAACTATACGAACTTATACCTAGGAGATGTATCTATATGTCAGGTGGGATTAATCCAGAGGATAAAAATCCTATCACCAGTTTTAAACTATCTAAACCTGTTAATCCAATGAGGTGGGGGCTGGTATACCTTTCAGGGATGATTAGAACATCCAGATATTCCAAATACTTTTTGTCTGGTTCCTCAGAGAAGGTATTATACTCCTTGTCACCACCTGCGGCTTTGGATTTCCTTTTTGGAATCCTCTTCTTTTAAGCAAGCGCCAGATTGAAATAGCTCCAGGCTAGAGTGTTCTTTGTGCTACGGAGTCTGCCGTGCCAGAGGGGTTGTGAGCTTTTATCGAAGTTAGATCAGAAACCTTTCTTGTGCAATCTTTCCTGCTTCGACCTGATTTCAGCCCGCGATTGTCAAAAAGATCAGAGGTCCCATTTTCATGCAGCCTAACTAATTTTGGTTAGATCCAGATGTTTGGGTACGACATCTATGGGAAAACCGATAAATCCACAAATGAAGAATAATTTTTGTGCATTTGCCTCTTGTGGGTATTGAACTAAGGACATACGTTTGGCAACCTGGGAGCACTACCCACTATGCTATAGACCCACAGGTCTTTTTTAAAGTTTTTGTTTTCTATTGATAATTATATATATGATAGAAATATAGATTCTTGATATAATTTGATATAATTATTTAACACAATTAGTTAAGTTATTATTAAAACATATAAAATAATTGAATCAGACATATTATTTTTGAGAATTTTGATAATTAAGTCAATAATAAAATAATTTATATTACATATATACTAATAATAACTAGTGAAAAATTCTCTATATCCTCTGATTAATTATTACTTCTTGCCAAAAAAATTTATAACCAAAAAATTAAAATCAGTTTATTCTATTAAAAGATCTACAATTTATCAAATACTAATTA